CTACGTTGGGGAGATGAAGCAGAGTCTGGGCGACTGCTTTGCTGAACGCCTACATTCAGCCTGTAAAAATGATCTTGAGCTTCCTGTTGCCTGACGCTTCAGCATCACCACATTCCCTGGCCAACATCTGTGTCAGGCTTGCTGCAGTGCTCCAGTGAAACTCTCAAGCTGGAAGAACAGCATCTCATTTTCCACTTGTGAACCTTACTGCCTTCAGGGCTTGATATTAAGTTCAACAATTTTAGGGCTTGAGCATCTTCTCCCAAGTCCTTACCCTAACTACCACACACCAGGCCTTGTTATCACATGGCTGCTACCACAAACAACCCACTGCCCCTACTGAGAGACAGTATGAACTGCCGATGCTGGAGTCTAAGATAACATAGTGTGGAGCTGGAGGAACACAGCAGGCCAGGCAGCAGAACAGGAAAGCTGACGTTTCGGGTCAGGTCCTTCTGAAAGGTCCCAACCCGAAACGTCAGCTTTCCTGCTCCTCTGATGCTGCCTGGCCTGCTGTGTCCCTCCAGCTATCCACAGTCCCTATTAGCAGCTATTAATTCTCCCAGGCTAACCTTTACCCATTTCTTTGTCTGTCCAACTGTTTTTCTCTCTGGGCTCCATCCCCAACTATTGTTTACTCCTACTCCCACCCATCCTTACCATGTATACCAGCCTTTCCCCAGCGACAATCAGCACTGAAGGGTCACTGGACCAGAAATGTTAATTCTGCTTTCTCTCCACTAATGCTGCTAGATCTGCAGAGTTTTTCCACCAATCTGTTTGTGTTTCCTATTTCAAGCAAGCACAGTTCTTAGTTATTTTTAAATCTTTTTCACGGGTTAATTCCAGAAGGGAAAGTTATCTATTTTTTCTTAAAGTTTTGTTTGTATCACATGTGCATGTGGGGATTTCATATTTCAAACTGTGTATCAGATATCATTTTTGTCACATAACTACTTTGTTATATTAAAAAGACTTTTGTTGTTTATTAAAGAAACCTGGTTGATGGATCTTATTTTGAACCTAATAAAGCATATAAATGGCAATTGGGTAAAATACTTGGAATTTATATTGTGACCAGTGCAGTGATGAAATCAGAGAAAGATAGTTATCATGCCTCAATGGTATAGCATGCTAGAAACCAAGCCCCACTAGACACTCATAAAAGTTATAGATTTTATCAGAATTCCCCAAGTTAGACTCAGTATGACAGAAAGCACAGAGCAAACACTTTACGAATAAAATAGATTCCAACTACAGATAAACAATCATGAACAGTTGACAGATAACTCCAGTAGTTATAACAAACTCTTAAACCCCTTATAAAACTCCCCCCTACACACACAGACAGACAAAAAAAGTTGTGTTAATGATGGAGGGATAATTAAGGATGCCCTCGACTACAATTCTTCCATTTCCTGCACTTCTGCCCTCAAACCCCCTATCCCCAACAGCAATAAGGATAGAGTTCCTTTAGTCCTCACTTAACACCCCATCAACCTCCGGATCCAATGCACCATCCTCCAACATTTCTGCCACCTTCAATCAGACCCCACCACCGAAAAGACATTTCCTTCCCCACACCTATCCACTTTCCACAGGGACCGTTCATTCCGTGACTCCCTCGTCAGCTCTACACTCCCCAATTCCTCCATCACACAGATAACTTTCCCTGCAACCACAAGACATGCAACACCTGTCCCCACACCTCCCTTCTCACCGCTGTCCAAGGCCCAAAACAATTTTTCCAGATCCAGCAACAGCAGAGATTCATCTGCACGCCATTCAACTTTATCTATTGCAAACATTGCTCCAGATGTGGTCTCCTCTATGTCAGGGAGACCAAATGCAGATTTGGAGACCAGTTCACAGAGCATCTGCGCTCAGCGCCCAACAGCCAACCCGACCTTCCGGCTGCCATCTATTTTAATTCCCCCTCCCACTCCCTGACAACATGTCCATTCTTGGCCTCCTCCACTGTCAGAGTAAGGTCACATGTAAATCGAAGGAACAACACCTGGTATTTTGCCTCGGGAGCTTACAGCCCAATGGCATTAACATTGGCTTCACCCACTTCAAAATCCCTTCACCCCCAGCCCTATTCCAAGCCCAGCCCTAACCTGACCTGACCTGTCTATCTTCCTACTCACCTATCCACTCTACCCTTCCCACTGACCAATCACAATAGCCCACTATCTACATTCATCTATCACCACCCCACCTACCCTTGCCCCACCCCACCTCCTCCATTTGTTTCTTGGCTCCCCTCCCCCTCCCCCAGTCCTGACAAAGGGTGTCACCCAAAACATGGACTCACCTGCTCCTCGGATACAGTCTGACCTGATGTGCTTTTCCAGCCTCACATCTTTAGACTCAGACACAGTGCAACCAGTTCCTCAATTTATGAAGGTGTCTGACTTATTGATTAAAAATTTACAAAACTGATGAGGAAAATAAAAGGGATAACAAGGTGTAGAGCTGGATGAACACAGCAGGCCAAACAGCATCAGAGGAGCAGGAAAGCTGACGTTTCGGGCCTAGACCCTTCTTCTTCATTTCTTCTTCAACCTTGTTATCTCAGATTCTGCAGCATCTGCAGTTCCTACTATCCCAGGAAAAATAAAAGCCTTTCTTCAGGCTTTAGATGACAAAGACAAATCCTCTTTTTCCAAAGGTTCAAAGGGTTCTCACTATCTTGTTTACATTCTCAGTTGAGACTCAATCACATAGCTGCTTGCAGGTAGAAGCCTTTGTCATTGATCTGTGGACCAATGACTAGTTGTTAGTGAGCCACTTGTTGTCAGCTAATCTCATTTAGTACACACTCACTGGCTCCAGTTCGTCTGCAAGTAAACTTCTCCCACTGGTTGTAAAGGTAAACAGCACCCACAATGAGTGCCAGTTGCCTGCTGTTTAAAAAAAAAGTGTAGCAATCCTTTCCACAATTCTTGGGAAAAGCACTCAAAAAATCATTTTGGTCGACAATCAAAAATACAAAGAAAAGGGATACTATCTTCACAGAGCTCTTTCCCAAACTTCGTCATAAAAATATTAAGAGGACACTCCAGATAAGAGTGATGCAATGTTCACTTACAGGAGAAACTGCTGATTTTTGAACTCAAACACATTAAGTATCAAAACAAAATTTTGCAAACTAGTTTGGAAGCATAAATACTTGCTTACAAGGTAATATACTGTAATTGCAGAACTCAAAGTAAAACAAGGCAGGCAACTAATGCATTCAAGTAAAACTTTTTTTTTTAAATTAGACCGACGATAACCAACAACCAGTCCTGGTCTTCCCACATAGATGTGACAGTCAAGAAGGCACAACGCCTCTTCTTCCTCAGGCAGCTCAGGAAATTTGGTGTGTCCACAAGGTCTCTAACAAATTTCTATGGATGCACCCTTGAAAGCATACGGTCCGGGTGCATTACGTCCTGGTACGGCAGTTGCACTGTCCAGGATTGTAAGAATCTACAGAAGGTGGTCTGAGCTATGCACACCATCACGGAAGCCAACCTTCCGCCCATGGACTCTATTTACAAGGCTCACGGCTGCAGAAAGGCTGCCAAGATCCAAAAGCCATCACACCCTGGTAATGACTTCCTTCAACATACAGAAGCCTGAACACACGCACAAGCAGGTCCAGGAGTAGCTTCTTTCCAACTGTTATCAGCCTGTTGAATGGACTCGAGCCTCAAATAACGTAACCTGCAATGTAACTTAGAGGCGTATAAGTCTTTTTGATCTGTACATCCTTCACTTGCTGTGATCTGCCTGCACCGCTTCTAAACAAAGCTTTTCATTGTATTTCAGTACATGTGACAATCAATGTAAATCAAGCTTTATAAAAAAGTAGCTGAACAAGTGAAGCAGAACAGTTAGTGCATTCTAGCATTGAGTTTTGAAAGCATAATACATTAAATCCAACTTAATTTTAAAGAAAAAGCTGATTGCGAATAACCTAGATCAAGGATAATAGGTGGTGACTTATCAATATGGTGTTAGTGCCTACAAGGATGTAGTAATGTCATTAAAACAGAACATAAAACAGAAGATGCACGTCCAAGTTTTATCATTCTTTCATTCCCCTTCTACACTCCAAAAAACATGCCCTGAAACAACCGAACTGATATTTCTTCTAAATTAATATATGGAAGAAGATGGTCTCTCATCTATGCCATTTTCAGATTTAATCAACGTTAGACAAATTAACATTATCTATTAATTCCTCAGAATGATTATGAAAATTGAACTACTGATGCTTTAAATCTGGAGGGATTTATCCATCTGGAATTGATTTCTACAATGCAATGTCTTGAACAGAACCTCAAACATTGCAAAAACAAGTTAGCCAAATCTAAGACTGAAAAGGTGCTCACTGATGTAATCGAAAACTTGAACAGAGGTTGATTTTCTAATCACTACAATGCAATTCTTTTTCTTTCCTCACCAAAACTTAATATGAAATGTATTCCCTTAAATACAGTACCAATGAGGCCTCCTGACTTCAGTATTATTGTCAAGTAACTGAGACACCCTTGCTATCCTGCCTCAAAGTCACTAAAACGAATTATCTGTTGATTTTGACATTCCTGTGGGAACTTGCTGCATGCAAATTGGCTGCTACAATTCCTACATTAAAACAGTAACTTTATTTGCTGTAATGCACTTGGGATGTCATTAAAATGGAACATAACAATGAGAGGTTCTACATAAACAGATGCTCGTTCTTTCTTTTAGAGAGCCACTACTTAAAGGGTTCCACAACATCATATCGAAAAATGATTTTATATTAAATCCAGAACTAAGCCAATCAATATACTGATAAATGCAAACTATGATGGTAACATTCATCATTTAAAATGTTGTACACTGCTGACTATATATGACTATATCAACTATATTTCACATCACTTAAAGATATACCAAACAGCATCTACTTGACATCTCCTAACATACATTAAGGCATTGTAGCTATTAATAAAAACACTTACTGTAAACCAAAATCCAACAGTCGAGGTTTAAAATGTAATGTGCTTGTACAAGGCCCATTTGCAGAGCTGAAAAAGACGACAATGAAAAGAAGTAAAACTGTAGATGATGCATGGTACAATCTGACATGTCCTAGATGCTAAACATACGAAACAATATTTAACCAGTGTAATCTAAGGTCAATGTGCTGCTAAAATTGTGAACTAGTCTTGGCATAATGCGCATAAAATAAAAAGTGCCCTTACTTATAATATGCTAAATAAGTACTAAGGCTCAATTTGACAAAGAAGCATACTAAAACTGTACAGATTAAATTTTGCCTTCACCATTCCCATTGGAGAAAATTAGCAAAAAGTATGCAAAAGTTAGTCATTTTAATTGATACTTACCAAATTTCATGATGGCATGACTTTCAATATCAAATGTAACAGGACAACTGAGAAAATCAAGCTGTTGCCTCAATAAAGCTGTGATTTATTTTAAAATTGATACTAATCCTGAATTACATCATTAACTTCTGCAAAACAGTAGCTGTTTGCAATTGTATTTTGATATCAGCAATCAATTTTACAGGACAGTAATAAATGATACCAATGTACATTGCTGCTGTGTTTCAATGCTCTTTTAATATTTTTACAAGCTCCAGGAACTTATAAAAAGGTTTACTTGCATCTAATCTGTCAGTGGTTACCATTCAACTAAACGTTTCACTGCACAGAAGGAGAGCATTGACCTGTGGGAAGTATTCTGCAAGTGACTAACCTGAGTAGATCTCTCACTTCTTGGATGGAGGCACAGCATCTAGTGCATGGTATGAAATCATCAACTTAGCAATATTTTCTTCATAATGCATTCTGCAAAGCTTACTGCATCCATGTATCTAATCTGTAGAATGGAGTCACTGCACACTTAAATGTTTAACAACGTATGCATGTGCACAGTCCCCCATCATTTTTATGCAAGAATTATTAGTTTTACAAGTAAAACAAGTTGAAAAGCATAGACAATTGTATACGATTTTGGAACGAAATAAATGATATTGCATAATATGCATCAACTATTTTTTAGAAAAGGAAATTTCCAATAGCTAAGGCAGCCTGTGGTTAACTTGTTCAAAACCTCGTGTTACAGTTATCAGCGCCTACAAAGAAATGTTATTTTCAAAAGCTTTTAAAAGTACTTTTCATTTTAAGGTTTACCAACAGATGTCCCTCTGAAACTAACCGCTAAATATGCTGAAAATTGAATAGCCAAGGTGTCAGATCTAGCATCAACATTTTAAATGTTGCACTTTTTTGGAGTTTCTGATTATGTGATATAAACATTTTGGTTTACATAACAATTTTAATGCTATATTAACAGTTTTTCACCTGCCAAAGTTACAATAAATTTCTTATTACATTGTTCTGCAACTCAACATCCAGCAAATGCAGTGTTTGCAAGCCAACAAGTACTTTCAGCATTAATTTAGCAATCCTAAATTTAGCAGTGTCAATGCATTAACACATTTTTCACTATTCTTGGAGAGAGTTGTACTGATGTGTAGTAAGCACACTTTGTGCAACACCCAAGTGTAATTAAAAGGCTAAATATATATATTTTTAATAGAAATTATGGGCTTGTTATGCATTAACAATTTATTAGCAAACTTTTTATTTAGCAGAAATATGTGCAATTGTCATTCAAATTATCCTGAAAATAGAAATTAAACCTATTATTAGGTACACATTATCATACCCACGTATCCAAATCTATACGAAAATATGTCACGTATGCAGCATATTATACTTTACTGGCACAGTAAACATTCCACTATCCTTTTTTTTGGGGGGGGAGAAGTGGAGGGATACCAGTTACATGAGAAGTACACTAGTATTTTTTGATTACAAAATCTTAAATTTACTCGCTGGGTTCTAGAAACTCAGCATTTCATCACGGTTATCAACAGACTAGTATTTGCATCTTGAGCAGTGGCCAATGTCAAGGGCTGAAGAGTGGGGATTTAGGCCTAGTAAGCCTTTTGAATAATTTTTTTTACATCTGCCCGCTTGCAGGTTTTCCTTATGCAAAAATTGAGAATGTGAAGGTGAGCGTGCATTAGAGTTTGCGCAATAAAGCAGTTTCACTATTCAACAAGTTTCAAGATATTTTCAAATAGTTTGGCAGCAGTCCACATTGAAACTCCTTCAACCTGCTCCCCTCGTCATCACTTTCCACATCTTGAAAATTAGGTTTGCCATGATTCAAAACACTGTCTGTGACTGCATCTGTATATAACAGAATCGAACTTGTCAACATCCAGCAAGTTCATCTCTAGAAAGGTTTTTCACTGGATTTACAGCATTAGCACAACCAATTCCACGACTTCATGCACAGTTTTAATTGGTTTGTTTCTTCACACACAAAGTCCTTCAAAAGTTACTTCCTCATCGGACAATTCTTCTTCAAATATGACAAGAAGCCATAGGTTTCACCAGCATCTTTGCAGAGTTTCATTCTTCACCTGGTTCCATGAACACACCACGTTAATATGGCATCTTCGATAGAGTACTTGGACTGAAATTCATGAAATTGTCATGCATGGTTTGTCAGCTTTCTGATGATACCACATTAGTAAAATATTTTCAAATTTCGGATCACACCCTGATCAAGCTTGACACACTGGGGGAGGAGGGAACACATTAATTTTTGCCTGGTTGCATGAGAATATGGGTGCTTGGGTACTGAGTAACAGGGAATTTACTATAAAATCTCACATTATGCTGTACATACAAAACATTAAATCTTTAGCAATTGGGGTCTCAAGGAAGAGATAGGAAAAAGGGAAAGTCAGAATTTCCACAGGATTGTAGAGTGACTCCTGCTGCAACATGAGTGATCATGGGCGTCACCTTCAGCAATAACTAGGCTTGACAGAAACGCCTTTCAGAATTAAACAGCTCACTATCAAAATGAAAGTGATGAAATGCAAAACCAGACAATTTGTGTTGGTGAGGTAATTTGATGCATTCAACAAAACTACAGAAATCACAGAAATTTACAGTGGATGGAATAACCATTTGGCGATTTGGAACAGCAGTCATGCTCAGTCTCACAGGCCTCGCGCCAGTAACTCTATAACACCCTCATGCTCATGTTCCTGTCCGAAGCCCTTCAAAAAGTTTTGGAATCAGCTTCCACCACCCTTTCAGATAGAATGTTACAGATCCTGACAAGGTCAGAAATCACATGACACCAGGTTATAGTCCAATGGGTTTATTTGAAAACACCAGCTTTCTGACCTCTGCTCCTTCCTAAGGTGTAGTGTGAAAGAGGAG